GTGTTGATTTTCTAAATAATTAGGCTATATATCAAATTTTTTGATGAATTTTTTTTGTTAATTTAACATGAATTTGTTTTGTAGTATTGATTTAAATAACAATTTTATATGTTTATATAACAATTTAACTTTCATATTTTGTTAAATTAATTACTCATTTGAAATATATATGATAATTTATATTAACTTTCCATTATACTATGATAATTTATATTTTTGTGTTTTTAATTTATTTAAATTGTTAATCATACTTAATATTTTTTATGTTTAATAAAAAACGTTGATTTTGACCAATCAAATTGAGTTTCTATGTTCTATGTGAACGCTTTCATTAGTATAAAACATCAACATGGACCATAATTAATATATTTTAAGTTAGTAGCTCAGATTATAATTGTTTATCATAATTAAAATTTTGAAATAGTTTAATGATGGTCTTAAATAGATTTTTTAATTATTTTGTTTAATATATATGATTTTTCCATAATAATCTATTTATATGTTAAATTACTTTTTGTTGTAAATAGAAAAATAAGATATACTTTCTAACCTTGTTATTAATAACTAATTTAAAATTTAGAAAATTTAATAATAACAACAAAAATAAAATTAATTAAAAATTGAAAATTTTCTTTTTAAAAATAAAAAACGAGAAATTAATTAATTTAATATATAATATATAATTAACTAAAGATAATGATGATGTGTATCAATAGAATTGAATCTTTAAATCCTATGTGGACACCCTTAGAGGCATTTAGCATCAACTTTTATTAGTAATAGATAGATGATGTATTTGTGTTTTTACTAACCTCAGTTAAGCATCATTATCAATATTTTATTGGCTCTCATTGGTGATGACATTGTTAAAATAGCTGATTTAGTTCATAACCATAGCTAAGCAAACTCTCTCATTGGCCTGTATTTTTCATATCATTTTGGTTTCGATTTTAGTTAAATTGTAAACTGAAGTCTGGACTGCACAATTTTTTGAAGATTGAAGAGTGGAGATTTAAATTAAGAAACTAACAAATGCTTAACGGGCTTCAAGAAACTTTAACTAGCAAAGTGAGTGGATTCTCGTTTATTTCGCTGGATACTACTAGATGCTTTACTTTTGGTCTTTATTACATTTAAATAAATGCCAAAATGAGGTTAAAGAGAACATTAAAATAACATCTATATCTTTTTGTCAAAATTTGTTCCTATAAAATGTTACTTTTTCCTTAAAATAGTAGTTTTGATGAACAATTTTAGCACAAAAATCTCTTCACTAAATTCTAAATACGTGGATCGAATTAAATAAAACTAGATGGGAGTCTACGCATGGCGCGCACAATGAATATTCGTTAAATTTAATTAGTCAACACATTTAAAAGAGAAATTTAGCTATAAGAAATCATAAAAGTTTAAGATAGTTATAATGAAAATAAGTGATCATTGCTAGCATATGCTTTTAAAGTAGCATTATCGGCTATCCGATGATATCATTTTAAACATAAAAAAGTAATTAAGACAGATAATTTTATAAGAGCTGCAGAAATCAAATCTTTACTAATCATCGATATCGAAATAGTTTTTTTCTTCGCCCTTATGCCCATACTCACTCAGTCCAATCCTATTCAAGCATATATAAGCATAGGAGTCACAAGAACAGTTGGTCATTATCACACGATCTAAATATTTATTTGCAAAAACAAATTCTTATCTTACAGCATATCTCGCAACTCATATGCCTCTTGAAGATCAGGGTTGAACAAAACTCTTGAGACACCGAGATGATCCGTAACATGATATTCCTCTACAAAAAGTTGATATTCACTCAAAAGCCAAAGATCAATAATAATTCTAAGATAATAGCATAATTGTCATACCATTACATATAACGACACGCTAGTCACTTAGAACGCAAATGACCAATTGTTCAGTACAATAACACTACCTATCGTTGAACTCAATAGTCAATTTTCCGTGTGCAAAACACTTTATCATCCTATCACTAAAACTATGTTAGGTTGAATTGTTCCATACTGTAAAACATTTCGAATATAATACAAAACACTAAATAATGACTTCCGTATCGTCCGTTAGTGTAAACTCAATCCTTGCCGTCATTTTTGACTCAAGATCTTGAAACGAACAGTCTCTGACAACCTGAAGTTCGTCAACAGTTTCAGCGGCACCAAGTAAATCTGTAAGCATTATTTCAGAACAAAAACGCATGTAAGACCGAATTGTCGATTTGAAATCAGAGTTGTGATGTGTTCGTTTTGTTAAGTATTTGGGCTTTTTTTTTCTTCATCTTTATCTCATTTTTCTTTTTATTCTTCTTCTCTTATGAATCGCATGTAATGGTCTTTTCAGAAGCTCGATTATAATAACAAAAAGTAAAAAAAAAACTTGGTAAATTATATTTGCATGTATTCAAATCTTTAAAACCAAAAAATTCTTCTATATAATGATGTAGCAGATTATTATGCTTCTTTGTAATTTATTTAATGATGCAATTCAACCATAAATATTTTTAATAAAATAAGTTACAATACATTACAGAGACATATTGGATTGAATTCTTCTTCCACTTCATCTTTTTGAGCCTTTTTATATTCCTAATTTCTTCTTTTTTAAATTGTTCATCACCTTCAAAAAAAATGTTCTTCTTCGGTTTGTCGTCTTTATCATTTTGTTTGTCATCTTTAACTTCTCCAACTTCTTATACTTTTGGTTTTTCTTCGTCTCATCTTCTCCTTCTTTTGTTTCGTCTTCTATACTTTTTCGTATTTTCCTTCATCTTTTTTTCAATTTTCTGATTTTGATTAACTATCTTCTTCCAATTTTTCCTTCTTCTTTTTATCCGTCTTTGTCTTATTATTCTTCTAGGTTTTCTTTGTTTCCTTTCTTATCTTTTCCTTCTTCAACTTCTTTTTCCATTTTGTTCTTCTTGGCCTCCGAGTTCTTCTTCCTCTTCTTGTAATCATTTTTCTTTTCCTCCTTCTACTTTTTCATCATCCTCATCTTATGTCTATTCTTCAATCTTCCTATTTTTATTTGCCTTTGTCTTTGTCTTTGTCTTCTTCCCCGTTTTCTGACTTCTTCTTTATCAGCTTGTCTTTTTCTTTATCGCTTGTTTTTTATAACTCATCGTCTTCCATAACTTCTCGTTTTTTAATCTTCTCCGTCTTATCCAATTTATTCTCACTACTTTTATTCATTTTTGCCTTTATCTCTTTTTTTGTTTATTATAAGTTCCTCTTCTCCAACACCTTCGTCTTTTCCGACCTATTCTTTTTTTCTTTTCCAATTATTCTTCTATTTTTTTTTTGTTTTTCGCTGTGTTCGTCTTTGTCTTCTCCAACATATTCTTTTTGTTTCTTCCACATTTTCTTGCATTAGTCCTATAGTTTTTATTTTTCCGCTACTTTCTTGTCCTTCTTCATCATTTTCTCATTCTTGTACTTTGTCTTTTTTTAATCTTCCTTTTTCCTTTTCTTCATTGTTTTCGTGTTATCTAACTTGTTCTTCTTTTTCTTTCGCTGTTCTCTTCATTTTATTAGTGCCCTTCTTCAATTTCTTTGTCTTCTTCATCTTCTTCGTCTTAAACTTCCATTTTTTTGTTTCCTCTTTGTCTATTTCCTTTTCGACTTCATCTTCATCTCTTTTTCTTTTTATTCTTCTTCTTCTTTTCAATTGCCTGAAGTGGAAGAAGAATTTAATCCAATATGTCTCTGTAATGTATTGTAACTTATTTTATTAAAAATATTTATGGTTAAATTGCATCATTAAATGAATTACAAAGAAGCATAATAATCAGCTACATCATTATATAGAAGAATTTTTTGGTTTTAAAAATTTGAATACATGCAAATATAATTTGCCAAGTTTTTTTTTTACTTTTTGTTATTATAATTGAGCTTCTGAAAAGACCATTACACGCGATTCAGAAGAGAAGAAGAATAAAAAGAGAAAGGAGATGAAAATGAAAAAGAAAAAGAAAATGAAGAAAAAGCCTAAATACTTAACAAAACGAACACATCACAACTACGATTTCAAATCGACAATTCGGTCTTACATGCGTTTTTGTTCTGAAATAATGCTTACAGATTTACTAGGTGCCGTTGAAACTGTTGGCGAACTTCAGGTGGTCAGAGACTGTTCGTTTCAAGATTTTGAGTCAAAAATGACGGCAATGATTAAGTTTACACTAACGGATGATACATAAGTCATTATTTAGTGTTTTGTATTATATTCAAAATGTTTTCAGTATGGAACAATTCAGCCTAAGATAGTTTTAGTTATAGGATGATAAAGTGTTTTGCACACGGAAAATTAGCCATTGAGTTCAACGATAAGTGGTGTTATTGTACTGAACAATTGGTCATTTTTGTTCTAAGTGACTGGTGTGTTGTTATATGTAATGGTATGACAATTATGCTATTGTCTTAGAATTATTATTGATCTTTGGCTTTTGAGTGAGTATCAATTTTTTGTAGAGGAATATCATGTTACTGATCATCTCGGTGTCTCAAGAGTTTTGTTCAGTCCTGATCTTCAAGAGGCATATGAGTTGCGAAATATGCTGAAAGATAAGAATTTATTTTTTCAAATAAATATTTAGATCGTGTGATAATGATCAATTGTTCTTGTGACTACTATGCTTATATATGCTTGAATAGGATTGGACTGAGTGAGTATGAACTGAGGACGAAGAAGAAAACTATTTCGATATCGATGATTAGTAAGGATTTGATTTCTACAACTCTTATAAAATCATCTGTCTTAATTACTTTTTTATGTTTAAAATGATATCATTGGATAGCCAATAGTGCTACTTTATAAGCATATACTAGCATGACATATATTGCTTAAATGATCACTTATTTTCATTATAACTATCTTAATTTTTTATGATTTCTTATAGCTTTCTGTTTTAAATGTACAAATCAAATTTAACGAACATTCATTGCACCATCTAGTATACCATCTTTTGTGAGTGTGTGTGTATCGAGGGGAAACAAAAAAAAAAGCAGAGCATGTGTGAGTACGACGGTGTTTTAAATTTGAAGAGTTCTAGGGAAACGTAATTGGCTAACGAGGGAAAAAAAGGGCTCTCTCTCTCGACATTCAATTGATTCAAATCCCCAATTCTAGCCCTAATTTAGCGAGATGAGTCTCCAGTTCTCTCCGTCGAACTATGGGCGAATCTAAGATCGAACCCAGGAAGAAATTTTTCTCCGGTAAGATCTCTGTCCATCTCTTACCCGAAATTGTTTGTTTAGATTTCATCTGATGGATTAGCCGGATCTAATCGATAAAATAGTGGTTAATAATGAGCTATTGTATTTTAGTTTCGTAATTTGTTTACGCCTTGTCAAGGGAAACAAACAATCGTCTTGTGGAATTCGAAGGACTGCCCATTCCCTGTTAATGGCGATCGTTGTTCTGTTCGTCGTAATATCGAATCAGCTCTTTTTCGAATGGGCTTTTATGGGTGTAACGAAGTCCTCATGTATGGTGAAGAACTTGAGTACGACGACAGAGCCCAGTTTTGGAAGGCCGCAATCTCGTACTACACACCAGAAAGTGAGTTCCTTACTCATAACACTCTTGGTCGTTTCTACTTAATTATGATTGTAAATTACTTAAGGGAAAATTTGTAATCGAATTGAGATATATGTATTGCTTCAGGGGGTGACAATTCGGCTGATTTGATGAGCATCAAATTTTTGGGTAATTGCGAAACAAAACCCAGAAAAGTAATTGCACAGGGTTCAGCAGTGTTTGAAATTGAGGAATTACACCATTCTCCTGCTAGATGATGATGATGACACCGCACGAGGAAGTCCATTTCTGTCTGCACAATCACTTGTTGAACGTAGGCACGTTTTTGGTGGAGGAAAGCCTATATTCGATTGTATATAGTATACTTCTTATATGTGTACATATATTTTAGTTCCGGTTATTGATCTAATTATCTTTGGTTTAGTCGGTTATGGTTTGTATATATACTTTGTATCAAACGCTTGATTCAATAATGAGAATTCGAGTTACACATTTCATCTCTCTCTCGTTTCTCTCGTTCATCTCTCAAAGCTGAAACGCTAATATGGTATCAGAGCAATCTCTGCTCGTTTTCCTCTGATTTCTTCTCCGATTCACAATCTCTTGCACTATTCATCCAGGTTTCTTACGATTCGATCTCGTTTTTGCGTTCGATTGAGCTCTGAAGCATCCAAATCACCTTTGCGAGCTACTTAGGGTTTTTAATTTTCCTCTTACGATTCGATCTACAACAATGGTGAAACAAGGCAAGAAATCTCGTGGTCAACACCATTCGCCGACACCGGAAAACTCGCCGATGAAGACTCGCGCTGCGTCTCGCCGCTGATCATCTCTCCCGATTGAATCTGATGTCGCAATTACTCCGCATCCGAATTTCATGGCTAATCGGAACAAACCTCGATCTAACATTGAAGGCATGGATTCGTTTGATACAATCCATAGCCCATTCTTCCTCCACTCAGGCGATCATCCAGGTCTGTGTATCGTATCTCATATTCTCGATGGAACGAACTACAACACCTGGTTAATTGCTATGCGTACGAGTCTGGACGCGAAGAACAAGATTAGCTTCGTTGATGGTTCGCTTCCTAGGCCTGAGATAGATGATAGTAGTTTTAAAATCTGGAGCCGTTGCAATAGCATAGTCAAAGCTTGGATTTTGAATGTTGTGAGCAAAGAAATCTACGACAGTATTCTGTATTATGATGATGCTGCTGAAATGTGGATGGATTTGAATACAAGATTCAAGGTCAGCAATCTTCCACGGAAATATCAGCTTGAACAAACCATTATGACTCTCAAGCAAGGGAATCTCGAGTTATCTGCTTACTACACCAAGAAGAACACTCTTTGGGAACAGTTGGCTAATACAAAGAGTTCCACGGTGAAGAGATGTAACTGTGATCACGTTCAAGAGTTGTTGGAAGAAGCGGAAACCAGTCGAATCATTCAATTCCTCATGGGGCTTAATGATACCTTTGCTAACATTCGGGGCCAGATTCTGAACATGAAGCCACGACCAGGACTCACTGCTATCTACAATATGCTCGATCAGGATGAAAGTCAGCGTTTAGTTGGAGGTGCTTTGCAGAAATCTTTCACTAATCCTGCTGCTGTTTTTCAAGTAGAAACATCTATCATCCCGGATCAGTCTCAAGTGTTGTTGGCTCAAGGCGGTTATCAGAAGCCGAAGTGCTCCCATTGTCACAAGCTTGGTCACACTGCTGACAAATGCTACAAATTGCACGGGTATCCTCCGGGTTCTGCTCCGAAACAAAAGAAGGATCAGAATATCGGTTCAACTAACCTTGCTGCAACAAGCTTCTCAGCTCAGTCGGACCAACATGTTGATCGATCTGCTCAGACACATGAGGAGTTGTCTAAGGAGCAAATCCATACTATGATTTCTTATCTCAGTTCCAAGCTCCAGACTTCATCTACAGAATCTACTTCTGATAAGAATTGTGCGTCGACTTCAAATTCCATGCCTGTCATCTCGCACATTTCTAGATCTATACTCCAAATCTTATTATGACATGCTAGTTTCATCAGTATCTAAAGAACCGGCAGTGTCTCTTAGAGCTTGGGTATTAGATTCTGGAGCCACACATCACGTTACCCATAATATAGAACTTTATGTAGGATACAGAACCTTAGATAAAACCTTTGTTACTCTCCCAAATGGCTATACCGTTAAGATAGTGGGAATAGGTTTTATCAAGTTGACTGATGCTATCTCTCTGCATAATGTTCTTTATATTCCTGAGTTTAAATTCAATCTGATCAGTGTTAGTGTGTTGACTAAGACGTTGCATTCTAAAGTTAGCTTCACTTCTGATGAATGGTTTATTCAGGATCTTACACAGGAGTTGATGATTGGTCACGGTAGTCAAGTCGAGAATTTGTACGTCTTGGATTTCAATAAAACTGATCATTCTGTCTCTTTACAAGGTACTAATACCATCTGTTTCTCTCCACCAGTTTGTTCTAGTGTCGTTGTTGATTTGAATACTTGGCATAAACGTTTAGGTCACCCTTCTGAGTCTAAAGTTGATTTACTTTCAGATGTATTGTGCTTAAAGAATACAACGGTTAATAAGACTTCTTCGCATGTTTGTCATATCTGCCATTTATCAAAACAAAAACATCTTCCATTCAAGTCTAGAAATAACATATGCAAGTCTCCGTTTGAATTAGTTCATATTGATACATGGGGTCCTTTTTCTGTGCCTACCATTGATGATTTTCGATATTTCTTGACTATTGTTGATGACTATAGTAGAGCTATTTGGATCTATTTGATGAAGAACAAATCGGATGTTTTGCATATATTCCCTAGTTTCATTACAATGGTTGATACTCAATACAAACTGAAAGTGAAATCTGTTAGATCTGATAATGCACATGAACTGAAATTTGCTAATCTTTTCTCTGAAAAAGGCATTGTTGCATTTCATTCATGTCCTGAAACACCTGAACAAAATTCTGTGGTAGAGAGAAAGCATCAGCACATCTTGAATGTAGCTAGAGCCCTTCTTTTTCAATCTAATGTTCCTCTAGAATTTTGGGGGGATTGTGTGCTTACGGCAGTTTTTCTTATCAACCGCTTACCAACTCCAGTCCTAGATAATAAGTCTCCCTTTGAGAAACTAACTAGTAAACCTCCGGATTACCAGTTTTTAAAAACCTTTGGTTGCTTATGCTATAGCTCTACTTCACCGAAACAGAGAAATAAGTTTGAACCTAGAGCCAGAGCCTGCATTTTCCTAGGATATCCAGCTGGTTACAAGGGGTATAAGCTGTTAGACATAGAGACACATGCCGTTTATATTTCGAGACATGTCATCTTTCATGAGGATATTTTCCCTTTGGTTTCATCCCCAATCAATGATGTTACCAAAGATTTCTTTCCTCATTTTCATTCACCTGCAACACCCGATGTTCATATGCCTCTTGTGCAAACATCTTCTGATGCACATCCTCCTCATGATGTGTCATCTTCTGAGGCTTTGGTTCCCTACGAATCTAAGTCTCGCCGACCAACAAAAACCCCTAAACACTTGCAGGATTTTCATTGTTATAATATTACTAGTACTATACTATACTTTATCTCAAATTACATCTCTTATTCATACCTATCTGAGCCCTTTCGTGCTTTCATAAATTCTATCACCAATACCTTTATTCCACAAAAGTATTCAGACGCCAAAGATTTTGAGGAATGGTGCGATGCGATGAAAGTGGAGATTGGAGCTATGACGAGAACTCATACTTGGAGCATTGATAGTTTACCACCTAACAAGAAGGCTATCAGATGCAAATGGGTCTTCACCATCAAACATAATGCAGATGGCAGTATCGAGAGATTCAAAGCTCGGCTGGTTGCGAAAGGCTATACACAACAGGAGGGGCTAGATTACGAAGAAACATTCTCTCCTGTCGCCAAGCAAACTTCAGTCCGTATGCTTCTTCTGACCGCAGCAAAGATGAACTGGTCTGTAAGTCAACTCGATATTTCAAATGCATTCTTAAATGGAGATTTGGATGAAGAGATTTTTATGAAGATTCCTCCCGGTTATGCTGATCTTCTTGGTGAAAGCTTACCACCCAACGCTGTATGTCGTCTTCATAAGTCGATCTATGGTCTTAAACAAGCTTCAAGGCAGTGGTTTCTCAAACTTTCTTCCACGCTACTCAAGATGGGATTTGCCAAGTCTCACGCAGATCACACTCTCTTTGTTAAATGCCACGACAACGTCATCCTCGACATCTTGGTTTACGTAGACGATATATTAATCGTCAGTAACAATGATGCTGCTGTGATCGAGTTTAAAGATGAATTGACATCTTATTTCAAGCTACGGGATCTTGGTGAGGCAAAATACTTTCTTGGCTTGGAAATTGCTCGCTCTGCTGCAGGAATATCAGTTTGCCAGAGGAAGTACATCTTGGAATTGCTGGATAGCACTGGTTTCCTTGGCAGTAAACCGTCGAGTATCCCTATGGATCCAAGTATCAAATTCTCAAAGGATACTGGTATCCCTTTAACTGATCCCTCTTCGTATCGTAAGCTCATTGGGAAACTTATGTATCTGCATACTACTCGTCCTGACATTTCCTATGCAGTCAACACTTTGTGTCAGTTCTCTCATGACCCTCGTGACATCCACTTGAATGCTGCATACAAACTGTTGAGGTACTTAAAAGGTACGGTGGGACAAGGCTTGTTTTATCCTGCAGATAACAAGTTCGACTTACGGGGCTTCGCTGACGCTGACTGGGCAGCTTGTACAGATACACGACGGTCTGTTACAGGCTACTGTATGTTTCTCGGCGACTCTTTAATCTCATGGAAGTCGAAGAAACAGGACACGGTCTCTTGCAGTACTGCAGAAGCTGAGTTCCGTGCTATGTCTGCTGCTATAAAGGAAATGATCTGGCTCTCTCGTTTATTGACAAACTTGAGAATCCCCTTTCAGGAACCTGCGTATCTCTATTGTGACAACACAGCGGCTATACACATTGCTAACAATTCTGTGTTTCATGAGAGAACTAAGCATGTCGAGATTGATTGCTACAAGATCAGAGAAGCAGTTGATTCAGGTTTCTTCAAGACCATGTTTGTAAAATCTGGAAATCAACTCGCTGATGCACTAACCAAAGCTTTACATCCGGCTCCTTATCGAGAACTAATATCCAAGATGGGAGTTAGCAACATCTTTGCACCTCCATCTTGAGGGGGGCTATTAGATTGTATATAGTATACTTCTTATATGTGTACATATATTTTAGTTCCGGTTATTGATCTAATTATCTTTGGTTTAGTCGGTTATGGTTTGTATATATACTTTGTACCAAACGCTTGATTCAATAATGAGAATTCGAGTTACACATTTCATCTCTCTCTCGTTTCTCTCGTTCATCTCTCAAAGCTGAAACGCTAATAGCCTATAAGCAAAGATCTACTCGGTTCTGATTCTGATTCTTCTGAGGAGGAAGATTTCTCCTCCTGAAAATTGTTTGTTTTCCAAATATACTGGTTAATGGATGATCGCATCTTGATTTGGTAATTCCGTTTGTGCCTTCAGAGCGTATCATACCCACTCGTCTTCTGGAACTTGGAGGATTGCCCATTCCTTCCTTGTGCCAAGCCTGATATGATCTATCACCGATTCCACAAAGCTTTTGCTCAAAGGGGTTTTACAGGTGAGCTCTCCATCTGGGTCTATGTTGGTGAGAATAGCTAGTATCTGCGTGACAAGACGTGGCAAAACAGCCCGGAGGTGAATTCTTCCTTCGAATTAACACTCTTTTCGTCTCATATATGTATGTAACCTGTTATCTCACTTCCATTGATGGATATATATTTTGCAGGGGCCTCGACACGTGATAGAATGTTTAATGACATGCTTTTATGTTGGAAGATGCTGATATGGGACATTTCTTCCTAGTCTTAGATAATTTCCGACTTCTTATTCAGTATGCTTCAAGGTATGAATAAACACTACCTTTACAGTGTCTACTTGGCACGCCAACAAACCAGAAGGCCCTGAATGGCCAGGATTCCTGATAGATGAAGCATTCTCTTTTGAGTTTGATGACGCAAAACCCACATTCTCAGAAACCAAAAGGCGTGAAGCGGATGCGGCCGAAGACACACCTTGTCCCAAAAAGCCAAAGCAAACACCTGAGGGATTAGGTGATCTAGCTACCCTCTGTTCGTAGCCCTGGATGGTGTGCCCGTTTTGCTTCCGGGTATTACGGATCCATTGCCTTCTATTTTATTTCAAACTGCCAACTCTAGTGTTTAATTTTATATGCTCTCTTTTGTTTCGTTTTAATTTATATATATGTTTTTTTACCAAAGTTTTCTCGTTTTCGTTGTATAAGATGGATATACAAGCAAGTGTTTAAAACTTTAATATTTAACCATTGTCTTTCCGTTTCCTTTATTCATGATTGGCCTAAGCGGGGAAATTTGAGAATAAATCGAAAACGGATCATACAAAGGGACTAAATGTTGTATTACAAGAAATTGGGGTATAATCAATAATGTGAATGTGCTATAAATAACCATTTTATATAATCAAAGGTCCAACAGTAAACATCAGTGAAAGATTTTTCATTTCCCAAATCTACGGTCTACGGATGCATTATATCAAAAGCTTTTGTATTATTTTCAGATTATCCAATTCTTCTATTATTTTTATTCATTTATTAATCTCCAAAATATTTACTTCCCTGTTTATCAATCTCTAAAAGCTGAAAGATTTTATTTTATGGAACCTGAAGAGTCTTTTAAGTTTGACTAAATTTTCGGTGTCTTAATTTTTCATGAAACTAAAATTCTAAACCTCAGAAATTATAATTCCACAAGCAACACAACATAACGTGAAAGGGAAGCCAGTAAATAGCTTAACGTCACCACGAAAAAAAACACAAAAAACAGAAAAAACATAAAATAGCCAAGCCGATAAAATCCGAAATTCAAAAAAACAAAAGGCCCAAGCCCAACTCCAATAAAAAGCCACCGGAGAACTTGACCCGACTCGTGCCGACCCGACTTCACCAAAACCAAGACGAAGCAAAATCAACAATGAACGATCTCCATACCCAGAATTCTGATCAACAATGGCGGCAACAGCGTCCTTGGACTCCTTCAGAAGCTTAATGCTGTTATTGAGCTTCTCCCTCTTGCTCGCCACCGACGGCGACTCCTCGAGCATCCTCTCAATTCCTCCGCCGCCTCTTGGATCCACCATCTCCGCGACGATCTCCTTCTGAAAATGGCTGTTCACTAGATACTTCACTGATAGCTGAAGATACAGGGCAAGGTTATCAACAATCCTTCTGAGGACGATGGTCCAGTAGGAAGTGATCCTCATCTTCATGTCAAACGCCTGCTGCAGCAAATGGGCGTGATACTTTCTCAGATGCGAAATCTTCACATTCCCGAATCCAGACAAAGAGAAGCTGTCGGAATTGTTCAAAACAGCAACGATGAAGCTCTCTTGTTCATTTGTCTTCTCCGTCCAAGACTTCATGTACTCAGGGTTGCACGTGTAATCGGTAAGCTTCTCCATCTCAACGATCTGAATGACTCGGTTCACAGATTGTTCCTTAAGCTTGCAGACGAGATTTCGACCAGCTCGTTTGATTGATGATTGAATCTGTGGGAAGTTTTCAGAGTATTTGGCGATGACTCCTGAGAGAACAACTTCGATGTAGTCCCAAATCTTCTTGATGAACTCGACCGGCTTGGCTTGTATGTCATCCACATGTTGCGAGAGGATAGCCAAAAATGCTGATCTCGGGATGAAATTGGGCAATCCAACGCATTTGCATTCCTCAAGAACCTTGATCTCATCCATCAAGAACTCTGGAACTTCCTCAGGCTTTGCTTGTAGATCATCTGAGAATCGGCTCAACATATCAGCCAAACGAGCAGTGCAGTGCATATTTTGATTATCTGGGAACTCAGAGAAGTCTCCATGGACAAGGATTCTTAAAAGAGATTCTTTGGCAGAACCAATGATGTCCATCAACGCCATGAGTGCTTCTCCTGTAGAAGCCATTACCATCGGAAGCTTGTTCAACTCTAACACAGCGGTTTCCATCTTCAGATTTATTTTGCGGACAATCTCAGGCAAACAGCGGGAGATCATGGTTGCTTGGATAAGCATTAGCTTCTGAGCTAAGACAGGGATTCCCACAATGTCATCATCGATCAAGCATAACATCGGATGAGTCCTGAAAAGCAACTCCTCTTGCATCCTTGCTTCTTCGTAGGTCTCTTCTCCGATACGGTTTCTCACGCAGACGTAACCAAGTCCAATACTCACGTCATCTGCTGTTACTTTCTGCAGGTGACCTTCAGGAGCCATGTCTGCTTTTGTGACAACAGCTAGAGTACGTTCACCGGTTTTGTCAACTTGTCTAGACATACGAATGGACTCGCAGGTCGTGAAGTCGACGGTCGCTGACAGAACGTTGAGGATGATGGACTCTTGAGGCTCGATGTACTTCATAATCATCCCTGAGATCTGCTCATAGATGTTTTCAGGCTGTCCATTCACCGGAACTCGAGTTATCCCAGGGAGATCCACCATGGTCAGGTCAGGAACTCCAGCCTTCTTCACATGGAGCGTCAGGGGAGCGTCTGAAACCCCTTTCCCGGATCCTGCAACAAAGGTATTTAATAGACAAAAATTGTTAGTCTAAATCATGAAACACCTCTAGCACTTCGGAGTTCCAGAATCAAATAACAACTTTAGGCACATTTATGTTGGCATATGTATTACAGGACTTCTATTGTAAGTAAATTAATCCTGTATAGAGGTTTCAGTGTCGATCTTGCATATCTAGAGTAAGCAAAATTATTGTAACCAGCATTTAAAAATATCAGCATGCAAAATTATTTATAAAATAGGAGTTCCAAAATCAATTTATACCTCTAACACTAGTATTCAGGTCTATTGTACAAATCTAGGTTCAAAAACTTCTATGGTAAGCAAATAACTTTTTTTTACGATAACATCTATGTTTCAGATAACATTCACTGTGAATCTATCAGGTTTTGCAGCAAAATACACTTAACAAGCACTGAGAGATAAGAGACAGAACATACCAGCGATCACATCTGTTGCAGCACAAATAGCTTCAGCGATATGTTCCTCGTCCGTAGGAACAACTTTGTCACTATACTCCAGCCAGATCTGAGGTTCGGGGCTAGAACTTCTCTGGAGTCTCATCACAAGAGGAACCCTAGTGCAGATACCTTGTCCACGTGGCAAACTGATTCCTGCCAAGGACTCAAGAACACTCGACTTCCCTGAGGACTGGTCTCCTACAACAACAATGGTGGGAAGCTGGATCCCTTCTCTCATCACATTGAGGTTCCTTAGCCTGTCCACAGTGTCAAGCAACGGCCTGATCCGATCGTTGTATGAAGACACAATCGGTGCTTCAATGGGAACAACTTTGTTGTCATGGTGATTTGTTTCTACAATAGCAAGGGAAGAAGAGGTTTTAGAGACAGTATGCTTCTTACTACCTCCCATTTTCGAACAAGAGTGGAAGAGATACAGACAGAGTAGAGAGGTTTAAGAGAAAGTGATAAGTGAGATACTTCTTAGAGAATGCTCGAAGATATATATATATATATATATATAGAGGTACCATGAGGGCTTGTGTGTAAGTGATATAAGCCAGAAGCAAACGTTGGAAATGAAAGGATTTAGGTGACGTGCATGTTGGAACTGAAAAAAGCTAAGTACGTCCATAATCACACCTATAATAGCTCATTGCTAAAGCTAAAAGTAAAAAAGCCACTCTTAAATCCTTCATTGTGTTTGTAACCATTATCAAGATCTTTCTAATTGGCTTCTATGGCGGTGACGTTTGGTATTTTTCAAATAGCCGTTTGGAATTTATAACGAAAGTACGCTCATAGATTACATTTTAACTATAGCTAATCAGACTCTCATTGGCCTGAATTTTTCATATCATTTTGGTTTCGATTTTTATTCATTTGTAAACTGAAATTTGGACCGGCACACAACACTTTTGGAAGTTTAACCTTGTACATTCGACTATATTTTCTATATGTATTTTTTGGTATCATGAATATATATTTTATTTTTCTTAAGAGTGTCGATTTACCAAAGCCATTCTAAGTTAAGAGTACTTCGGTTACATTTTAAGAGCGAAGGCTGATTAATCCTCCGGTCGTGTACTCCGGAAATTATTAATGACTCTTTAGTTTCTCGCATTTACATTTTATATTTAAACACATTTAACTTTTCGTATTTCATTAATAAATAAATTAAACTTCTGTTCTGCGTATTAATTAAGCGAGAGATTTTGAGACTAACACAAATCAATCATTACATTAAAAAATACATTGTCGAAAAAAACCCCATCAAATATAATTTAAATTTTAAAAATTACCATAAAAGTCAATAAAGTTCGGCTCTTGAAATAGTGTGAGTGGGGGATATATATCTTTCGTGCCCAATTTTTATTTTCAATTTATCTCAAAAATAGTGAAAGAGGTGTTGAAGCGGCGAGAAAATCTCCACGCTATATCGCCGTGGGTGGTTTCGTCTTCTTCTCCTCCTTCTTCCTCTCGCTCCGAAGGTAATTGTGTTTAATCTCCATGAGTTCATTTTTAAATATAAGGCTGACTTCGAGATCGGCTTATGATGAATAACCGTTTGCTTTGTTTAATCTCTGTGGAAAAATTAGGGTTTTAAGCCATGGTCATGAGCTCACTAAACACACGTCTCCGCCAGAGGAAATTAAAGAAATCCAAAGGCGAAGATAATTTTAGGAAACTATCGAATGACCTATTGGATCGTATTCTCTGTGAGCTCTCTACCAAGGATTCCGTGAGCGCAAGCCTTTTGTCAAAGCAGTGGAGAAACCAATGGTTGAGTGTTCCTGTTTTGGACTTGGATTCCTGAAATTTCGAAGATGAGTACGATCTTTTTGATTTCATGAATAGATTCATGGAGTCTAATAAGGGAGACATAAAGAGGTTCAAGTTGACATATGATGCTGGTGATCATGTCATGATTCGTTCGTTTCACAGATTGATGATGTGCTTAATCGTAGTGTTTGCCATCTAATGGTTGTGAATCAGACAGATATTGATGAAGCTCTAGTTAGGATGCCTCTATCCCTTTATTCATGTGGGACATTGATGAGTTTAACACTCTATTATGTTGCCTTTGATACTCCCACATCAGAAGAGGTGGTATATTTACCATCTCTGAAGACTATGCATTTAGAAGAGGTCAAGTATGATGGAGATTCGGTTTTGGGGACGTTAATATCAGGTTGTTTAGCTCTTGAAGAGTTGATTTTAGTGACATATCCTGAAGATAATCTTGAAGTTGTGTGTGTGAGGTCTGAGTCACTTAAAAGCTTCAAACTAGGCACTACACGTGATGGAGCTGAAGATCCTAATGTGGAGATCGATTCTCCTAGACTTGAGTACATGAGTATACGTGATTACACATGTAAAAGTTTCGTAATACATCGTATTGGTCCATTTGCGAAGGTGAACACTGATAAGTTTGGTGCGGTGCATGCTGATGATCCATTGGAGAGAACTTTGTTCCATGGTTTTCTCACTGGGATATCCACAGTCCGTGAAATGATCATTTCAGCTCGAGCTCTAGAGGTACACAAGATTATTTCAATAATTTCAACCTTGTTCAATTTCTTATATCACTTATTTTTTTCTCGATACACACAGGACGTCCGTATTTACTCTAAGTTCGACCCATTGCCTCTGTTTTATAACTTGTCTCGCTTGGATGTTTCGTTTGCTGAACATAATTTGGAGTTGTTGCCAACCTTTATTGGTTGCTGCCCAAATCTACAGTCCCTTATCATGGTGCGTCTCATTTTATCAATGCTTATGTGATCACATTCAAATTCATATTCAAAGAAAACACTTATATTTTTTCTTTTGGTTGTATTGTCAGGAATTTGACTGCCCTCCAGAGACAAAGGAGATTAAGCTTTCATATGTACCTCAATGTTTCTCATCCTCTCTTGAGTTTGTTGAGATGAAGACACCAGTCACAACCATGGAGCCAACAATCAAGATGAATCTGGCCATATATTTTATGAGGAACTCTGCGGTTTTGAAGAAGCTGGTGGTGAGTAAGAATTTCATCAACATTATCAGCAAAATCAGAAAGATTCCAAAACTGTCTCGATGGTGTGAAGTTGCCATGCTAGAGTTCGAGGTTGTCTCTCAAAAGTCCAGTTTAGTATCAGGTTATGTACCACAAATTGATGATAGTGTACCAACTTAAGACAATGTTAGTTACTTCGCTAGTAACCAATGTTTTTGGACACGGCTTTAGGTTTCGTAAGGATTGATTCTGCGTATTCCAGTGATCTTTCTCTGTACTCTTTTTTGTTCCATCATGGGAAAACTCTGAAACGTGAAACGTTTAGCTCTCTTTCTGCTTTGTGAATGTTGTTCCTTGCTCAATACTCTTTCTTGTTAATGTAAGTCTATATAGTTGGGCTTTCCATGGGCTTATTTTGATGAATATATTCACTAAGTTTGAAGAGAAAATATCAAATTATGGTGACTTATATTATACAATCATTCGAGTTTACTCAGGTTTTTGTTTTATAAATGTTGTTCCTTGCTCAATACTCTTTCTTGTTAATGTAAGTCTATATAGTTGGGCTTTCCATGGGCTTATTTTGATAAATATATTCACTAAGTTTGAAGAGAAAATGTCAAATTATGGTGACTTATATTATACAATCATTCGAGTTTACTCAGGTTTGGTCCTGTTCAGTCTAATTACTTACTATAATTTTCCTTTTTGAATATGATTGCTAAAGGTCATTGACACGTAATTTCCCAAATCGGCACTAGAGAGCGGATTTCAACTTTTGAAGCTTTGATAATGGCAATACAATATGTATGTCCTTGGAGTTATATAGAACAATTCCTTTTGAAGAAGATTGCAACACATTAGTGAACTTAATTAACAACTAATCAATGGATTTTGAGATTCACAACTGGTAATGTTCAATGGTGGAAATTATGATTTATAGAGGTTAAGTTTAAATGGATATCTCGAGATTTAAATGATCAGTTTTGATGTATGTATTAGCATTACACTACGATTATATGAGTTGTTTCACAAATCAAATAGAAATTTTGAAGTTTAAAAAAACCAACATCCTGGATTTATATTCTAATGTAAAATATATTTCTGAATTAACATTTGCTTAGTTATACAAATATAATTGTGCTCCAAATTTTATTTTTCACTAAAATATATTTTTATTAATGTTAAGACATCGCCTGATACATTCAAACCGCAAAGAAGGCTGATCAATCTCCAGTGCTCCTCTCGAAGGACTCAAAGACATTTACGTTGCTTTTGTGCATCAAATTTGAATTTTCAAGCTTCAGTTTCCTTCAAATCCATTGATCCCGCAAAATGAGAAAAGCCCTAATTTGCTTTCTTGCTAAGGAGACTCAATTTTTTACTGAAATGTGTTCAGTTCTTTAGATTTTGATCCTCACTTTGTTGGTTTGGTTTGTGTTTTTTGTTGTTACAGAGTTATTTCCGTGGCAGAGGAAAGAAAACCAGAGCTATACATTGAGTATGAATTGTATATTGATGGAGCTCCTTTTGGCCTTCCCATGAGAACAAGGTTTCTTCTGCTTTTTATGTTCCTTCTCATGGAGTCCGTTGTGCTGTGTTGTGATGTTGATGAGTTTCAAGTTTCATCAAGTTATATAGAGTTTTGGTTGAGGATTCAGTCTCTTAAGATATGGTCAATTACTACATAGCCAACATCTCTAGTAAACTCAAACAAGCGTAAAAGCTGAAGAATCCATGATATGAAATAGCATGAGTACTGTGAAATGCCTATGCGTCTTGTCATTTGTTAGATCACCACTCTGCTTTCTTTACTCAGAATTGGTTTGCCTTAAGTAGTGGGAAAGGTTTTTGTTTTCAAGTGGATGCTTACAAATGCAGATCTCTTTTAAATTGGTTTGCCACGCCGCTTTGTTGTATATATAGTTTGGGTTTAGGATTCAATCTCTTCTTAAAGTTATGGTCAATTACTACATAGCCAACATCACTAGTAAATTCAAACAATTAAGCTTAAAATCTGAACAATCTATGAAGTGAAAGAGCTCGACTACTCTGCGAAATTTTAATCCTCCAGAGCACAAGCAAACTAAAGCTGGCAAGGAGCTTGGATGGTGCCATTATTGACAGAGATCTCAAGCCAAGTATTATCGAGCGCAAGTAAGTATGGCATTTTTCATTGAAATCTTCTTCTTTTTCTTGGTTGAAAGTAATTTGCGTGTCACTCTTTAGAGTTTCAGCTTCCTTTCATTTTTTTATTATATTATTGGGGAATATATTCGCATATAATCTCACGAGTATGGTGTTTTTTTTGCTCTTCTTTTGAAGATATATACAAAGCCATGGAACCGAAGAAGCTACTGAAGGAAGAACTTTTAGCCATGCAATGATATTGATTTTTTTCTCTATATAATTGACTTATATTTGCTCCATGAGTTATACATTGAATGTCTTTTCATTTTTTTGGGTCAAGATACATTGAATGTCTATAACAAGCGATTTGTTTATTTGCAATTGATTGCTTTAGTTTTCAAGATAATGTTTAAATTTATCAGGTTTTATTTTGTTTAAGGTGTGTTATGAACCCATTTTGTACTGATGAGATATCAATGGAAAATTTCAGTTAAAAGTTCCAAATTTACTATAAAAAAAAATCAGCCATTGTATTGCTTACAATGATTAGAGTGATCCGTGACTTTTCATCACTTACCATTTTCTCAGCAACACGTGCTCTCAGTCGCTTCTTTTCTCTCTCTTATCATGGCGGATCAGGCGACAGCGACGGTGAGACTTCACTCCCAAACTTTCACCATCCTCGGGAATACATCTTTGGTGATGATATATATTGTGATGCTCGCCGAGTTAGGTGGGAAGCTTCAACTACGGCTGGCGAACACAACCGCTTTTATTATACTACATCAGTACATTCAACTCATTGTACTATTTCGCCGGATTGATTTACATTTTTCACATTTCTGCTATATTACCACTACAAGAGAACATATTGATTTTTGCTCAAATTTCTAACCAAAGTGTTGATAAGTAATAAAATCCTGACCATTTTCGAAATATTTGATTAAACATTTGATCAATTTTTGACCAAATTTAATTAATTTCATATATTATCTATACCACATAAATTTATATCCCTTTTCAAGAAATATCTTCTTCAGTTTGAATACCCAATTAAGAATCTCAAAAATATATTACTATTATTTAGTTACAATTTAAATAAATAATTAAATTTGATCATTTGACTCAGACAAATACTAGTATCTCGCCTCTACCATCGATAGGATTTTCTGAAGTATAAAAAGTGATATAAAAAAGAAAGTCCAAATGAATAAAGATATTCAGCAAACAGATATAGATACGTACGACAACATATCTATTACTAATAAAAGTTGATGCTAAATGTCTCTAAAGGTGTCCACATAAGATTTTAAGATTCAATTCTAATGGTACACATCATCATTATTTTTAGTTAATTATATATTGTATATTAAAATTAATTAATTCGTTTTAATTGTTATAAGGAAAATTTCTAAATTTTAATTAATTTTGCTTTTGTTGTTATTAGGAAAGTTTCTAAATTTTAAGTTAGTTATTAATAAAAAAGAGTTTTGAAAATAGATCTTATTTTCTATTAACAATAAAAATGTAAATTAACATATAAATAGATTATGAAAGAAAAATCATATGTATTATACAAAATTATTAAAAACTGTATTTAAAACCATAATTAAATTATTTTAAAATTTTAATCACGACAAACAATTAAAGGGAGAATTCCTCTTTATAACCTAAAAGTTGATTTTTTCTCAATATGTAGACCCCTTATTGAATGTTTGGCAAAACTAACCAAAATGGGTAGTGAAATTACAGCTCAGTCATTTGTGACTAAACAAAAAACGTCTGCCACAGTTACAATTTTATCCTTCGAGAAGTCTACGTAAGAAGTCTACTACATAATTAGTTTTGTAAAAATTAATTAGAAAATATAAGATAAATAAATTTCTAAAAAATTGGTAAACATAAGTAAGACATATATATTTGACATGTATAGAATACAAAATTTCATACAAATGAATCAACTTAAATGCAGAAAGAAAATTAACTAGAAAACATACAACTCCTTAAAAGTCTACTAAAGAAGTCTACTACAGAAAACATACGTATGCAGTAGACTTCTCGGGTAGACTTCTCGAGTAGACTTAAAAAAAAACATAGCGGGAAATCAAAATTATTTAACATATTGGGCGGGAATCGGAACAAATTAAGCGGAAATCGAAATCGAAAAAATATACCGAAGTAGACTTTTCGAGTAGACTTCTCCAATAGAATTCTTAAGAAGTCTACTTAACTGAAAATTTTCCTACATATATAAGGAGATTAACCTAATTGGGTTAAAAATAAAGTTTTTATCTCCCTCTAAAAACGCCTCTCTCTCCTCTACCTCCTCTCTGGCCATGAATCTCTTCTCCTTCCTCTCTTGCCATCAAACCCATCTCTATCCTCCATCCTCTCTATCTCAATTATGGTGATGGTAAGCAAATCTGAGGTTTTGTGTTTCTTTTGTTGTTTGTTTTGTGTTCATATTGTAAATCTGGATTTATTATTACATATTTGAGCTTCTTGTTGTAGAACTGAGTTTATTCTTACAAATATGCGCTTCTTATGGTATAAATTTTGTAGAATTTGTTGCAGATCTGATTTTTTTGTTGTTGCAGATCTGATTTTTTTTTGTAGATCTGAATTTTTAGTTGTTGCAGATCTGATTTTTTTTTATTTTGTTGCAGATCTGAATTTTGTTTATTTTGTTGCAGATCTATAATTTTTTTTGTTGCATAGCTGATTTCTTTTTTTCCCTTTTGCTGCAGATATGATGTTTGTAAATATAGCATATTTTGTTGAAATATGAATTTTAACATTTTTTTCTTATTGTGCAGACCTGAGCTTATTTATTTCTCTTTTGTTTTTGTTGGAAGCAGACTTCAGCTGCAGATTTCGCGAGTAGACTTCTCGAGTAGACTTCTCAAGCAGACTTCAGTCACATACATCTATTTCAGACATTTTGTTTCTATATGCTAATTTCAAGATTTATAATTAGTGATCCTTAGATGTTTGTTTGATTAGAAGGTCTACTTTATATGTAAAGTTGGATTGCAATTGATGTTATTTTTATATATTCTTAAATTATGTGTGTTTTATCATATTCAGATTTCATATGCAGACTTCTTCGTCAGACTTAGTCATCACCATCTTTGAACCTCTAATAACACAACAAAATTAATTCAATTTAACTATACAAAAACATGTAAAACTCATAACAAAAAAAAACATGTAAAACTACTTAGAAATACCACAACTAGTATTTCTTCACACATTCTCAATAAACAGTGGGTATGTGAATCATTCTCTATAAGAAAACAAAATTCAAACCACATTAGAAATCATTGTCGAAAAAGTAGACTGCAAACGTAGTCTACTATGTAGACTTCAAATGAAGTCTGCGAACTATTAAAGCTAAAGAAGAAAATTAGTTAAAGCTAAAGTGTAACAAAAAAAATTTCAAACTCATACATAAGCAAGAACAATAAATATCACACACTTAAGAGTCAAATAATAAATTGTATTTGTTACAAATATCTGATCAATTAAAATATATAAAAAATTAATATCGCAGACTGCAAACGAAGTCTACTATGCAGACTTCAAGTGAAGTCTACAGACTA